AAAGAGGTTAAGTGAATTGCCAAAGGTCAAACAGTGAGTCAGTGGCAGCACTAACACTAGACCTCAGCTTTCCTGACTCCCAGTCCAGTGCTTTAATTATCAGACAACACTTTTGTTGCATTTAAAGTGGCAGTGGTAATTGAGGCTCAAAATGTAGTCTGGGGAAAACACAAAAAATCCCTTTATAGGTTCCTATGCAGTGCCCATCTATATCAGAGGGCCTCACATATATTACTGAGCTTATCATCACTGTACACCCTGTTTGATTAGGAAGCATCCCCATTTACTGACAGGGAATTGAGGCATAGAGATTAAGTGAGTTGCCTATGGTCACCCAGGAAATCTGTGGCACAGGTGGGAACAGAACCCAGATTTCCTGAGGTCGAGTGCTGTTTCCTATCTACCAGATCTTCACCTTAAAAATTCTAATACTAACTGAAATGTTTTGACAATTTAAAAATCATCATCAGTATCTTAATAAGGATATGAAAACTTCAGTAACAAATAGCTCAGAGATTGTGTGGGGGTGGACTGAAATCAGAAAAAAAAACCCACCAATGCCATTCCTCCTTTTCCATTCCCAACCCACTCTCATCTCAGCTAACCAATCAGATACAGCGATTCACTTTAGAGTTTGTTACAATTTGGTAACATGCTATCTGAACGAAACTAATAAGGGAATGCACACAAATAAATATAAAGAAAAAAAAACTATATTCACTATAAGACAGGAATCTCTCCTGTCATAGGCATCATAGCCTCTGATGCACTGTCTTAACATATACTAGCAAAGTGCTGTGTGAGAAAATGAGCAAGAACTAGATAAAGTTTATTGCCATTAAAAGAAAAGTGGTTCCACTTCTTAGTAATGGCCACCAGAAAAGAGTACTATTTTCTGGCTGTTAATAAATGAATGCATAGTGTAGTGCAACTTTCACAGGGACTACAATATAATTTACTAAGCATCAAGGTACACGTTATCCCAGTTTTACTTATTGAGCATCAAGACACAGGACTGTAGGAAGCAGATGCCTGATTTTATTGTAATTGTAAAGCAATGAAATCTTGATATTTGTCATCTATGGGAAGTGATAGCTTGTCCATTAGTAAAATAAGGTGGATTATTTCAATCCAGATGGATTTATTTGAAGGTACACCTCTACCTCGATATAACGCTGTCCTCGGGAGCCAAAAAATCTTACCGCGTTATAGGTGAAACTGCGTTATCTCTAACTTGTTTTGATCCGCCGGAGTGCGCAGCCCCGTCTCCCCAGAGCGCTGCTTTACCGCGTTATATCCAAATTCGTGTTATATCGGGTCGCATTATATTGGGGTAGAGGTGTATTTCACTTTCAGGAACATGCAATATCTTCTGGGGGTGAGAATCGGTAATTATAAAACTCTTTATACGAGTTCATCAGACTAATACACTGTATGACAAAAACAACGGCGTAGAAAAGCTGATGTCTTAGAACAGGGATCGGCAACCTTTGGCATGAGGCCTGCCAGGGGGCTTACTCTGGCGGGTCACGGGCCAAAGGTTGCCAATCCCTGTCTTAGAATCTAATTCAAAATACCTGTGCTTAACTATATACCAAAATAATTCACCTTTTACAGGCATTTCCTCAGTTTGAAAAGCTGACATTATTAAAAAGAATGTGTGTATAATCAAAGTAAATGTTGAGACTCAACTCCAAAGATACTGAACAATGAAATATAATATTAAATGTCTAATATTACAATAGGCAAGCTCAGAGATCTTTTTTCTCAATATTCTGAATATTAAGAGTTTAAAATTTTTCTTAAATATTTATACACTTTTGCATAGGAAAGATTTTATAGAAGCATTACTCTAGAAAATATTTCCACTTTGTTGATAAATTAAATATTCTTACATGAATTTTTGAATTCCTGAAAGTGCTGAAAGAGTAGACCCTACCAGTACACATTAATTGTGTGTTTTGGACTGTTCTAAAGAAACCATTTTAAAAAATTGAGACATTAAAGATGCCTTTCAGATTAAGATTCTTATTACCAGCACACATTATTACATTTCTATTTTCAATTGGAGCAAAGGGAGAAAATCCATTCAAAATAGCATCTCTCATCACATTATCCCACATTGCAATTGGCATGCTCATCAGCAGATGTATTTCTAATGCGTACCTCTCTTGCCTTGTAATGTCAACCAAAATTTTATGAAGAGCTGAGCAACTAAGTGCAAGCTGCTTAATACTTGGTCAATGGACCGCTTTAAGATATTTTATGTCAGCTGGCTAAGGAGTGAAACGATGATGGTTTTCACAAATCCTGGCTTGTCTCAATATATAATTTTGCACTGTTCCTTTTTGGAAGTAGCTGGTGATTCATGTTGCTAGAACAAACAAGAGTAGTTTCTTTAAGAAACTGGTCCTTCATTTGTCAATTCCATCAGGTCCATTTTTTTGGACAGCACGTACTGGGGAAGACCATCTGTTGGAAAAAGTCTAGATCTGCTGCCCTTTATTTCAAAGACTTCTATAGTACTGTATTCCAAAGAGAAAACTGTTCCCCCTCTCCTGGAATTTGCCCTACACAGTTTTGTATCAATTTTAATATTCCTTTTATTATTAGAGTCTAGACACTCAGCCAGTTTTTTAAAATTTAGAATAAATTAAATGCAACTTATTTCTCAGCCATAAACTCTACAATACAGATGCTTCAGGCTTTTTTCCTTTATAGGGATCCATTTACTGACTGCAGCCTTACTTTGCACTAGCCATTTCCTCCTAATCTCCTAGCCCTACGAAGCATTTTTTAACAGTGAATACAGTGTCTAAAGGCACTGGAGTGACCACCTAGAAAACTGAAGTTCACTATGCCTAGAGGAGGTACAGCACAGGCTCTTGCCCTATCAGATATAAAATATAATTTAACTAAAGATATCTATTTAACTGCAGTCTTACTTTTGAGAGGTCAAGGACAAAGTTTGCTAAAGTCTAATGCTGCTTCATGTTCACACAGCCAGGCTTAACAGGGCTTTCCCCTCCGCAGTTTCAGATTCCTCCTTTGTAGTCTAACTTGTCCACACACATTCCTGAACGATTGTCTGATACACTATTTAGGGAAAGGGTCATATTCTGTTTCATTTCCCCCCATAGCTAAGTGGTGAAATTATGGTCCACTAGCAAGGGGATGTTAAATCTCTACCTTCTCTCTGACTTTTGTTTGTGCTCTCTATAGGTGCATGCTCTAAAGGGAAAGGCCACCAGGAAAGAATTTCTGTGTGAGGGACAGAAAGGATATGGAAAAAATATCAGGGAGTTTTCGCTAAATTTTCATTCTCACAAGTAGATGAATTTAACAACCCCACCAAACAGAACAAGTTTTTATGTTGCATGCTTTTCTTCTCCCCTCCCCCACTTTGTTACTTGTCTAATTAGGTTGTAAGCTCTTTGGGAAGGGACCTGTTTCTTATGGGTCTGTAGCTCCCAGGTCACTTTGGGCATAGTACAAATAATAATAATGGTCTCGATTGCCATCTATCTCCAGATCCATGTTGGCAGAAGCCCTTTAGATGCAGATTTCTCCATTCTGCATGTGCACCCTCTCCTCCACTCCTCCAGATGCTGCAGAGGGCTCTGTAAGGTCAGCACTAAGGTAGGGGGTGAAGAGTGGCCAGAAGGCAGTTGTGGGACACATGTTCCTCCCTCCATCCCTGTGGAGACACTTCAGAAAAGACAATACATCCTAATGCTTAATCATCTTTTCCATGGAGCTCATCCCTATCCCCTTTTATAACACTTTCTATCCGAAGATAAAAGTGCTTTCCCCAAAATCTTACAGGAATTCCGTGAAGATTCAAAGTTCTTTACAGACGTTAAGTTTAAAAGTGCTGGTTAAATTCTAAATTTATACAGCAATATGATCCATTGGCACAGACTCCTGCACAGGTCAAAACTAGTGAATATGACCGTAAGACTTGGGCCTTGGATATCACACTCCACAAAATGTATAACACATTGAGAGAGAGAATATATGCATATTCCATGAGTCTAATCCTCAGATTTAAATCTTATTAAAATGAATATTTGAATTGATTTGACAACCTGAGCAATAAACTCATGATATGTGCTTTCTATATTCAAACTTATTTATTTTCTTTTCTGAAAAGAGAATGAGTAAAAGGCCAGATGTTCCATCCAGTAGAGGGCAGTGGTTCACAAACAAACTATAAAAGATTACATTAAAGAAACTTGAAATAACATTGCATAGGTTGCAAAGGTAAGCACTCAATAGTTAGGAAATGCCAGAATTAAGGTTGACTGTGCCATAATGATTTATATTAAAACTACATCAAATGTTATTAATGTTTAGTGAGATGCACTCAACTGCTAAAACCCCACTCTATTTTAAATTTAAAAATTCATCTGCCAACAAATAAAATCCCACAGATTTTTTTCCCATTAACAGAAGCATTACAACAACCTGCTGCAACACAGAGCCAGACCCTGGGCCTCATTAAACCCAAAATTTTGTGTTTATCTTATAGTTATCACATCTCTTGCATTTGACATTTAGCTGCAGTTTATAACTGGGTAAGGAGGTTTTTTGGAGGGGTGGGGGAGAAAGGACCATGGGTTTGCAGTAAAATGGTTAAAAGTAGCCATCACCAGACCATGTCCTGGAATTTGATCTATACTGAGTGAGTGTCCAGAGTTGCTATATACACATCCTGTTTGTGTACAAGTTATTTTCTCTTTTATTTGTTCCCAATACATGAAGAACTGAGCAAGAGGCTCAATGTTTGTAAAGTTCTTCGAAGGTTTAAAGCACTACAAAAGTGTTAAAAATTATGAATGTGTTAATAAGTAGCTATAAATAATTCACTTATAACTATAAAAATGAACACATCTACATATATATATATATATACATATAAAAGTGTTGTTTATTGTAAGGAAACTTTAAATATAACAAACAATATTGAAAATATTGTTACTAGCATTTATGGCCTTGATTGGACTTCATCATCAGAAAAGTAATCATTAGCATTTTTCTGAATAATATTAAGCTAGTGCAAAAAATAAGTAACTTTTATAGATTAAGCATATAGAATGACATACAGATTTTGGTTACCTGATGTTTCCTTTTAGTATAACAGACTTCACTTTTTTCAATAAATCAAAAGTACAAAGGCAATCATATGTGCAACTATTCATATCAGGAGGCTGTGTAAAAAAATTGTTGACACTTGTAAATTCTGCTGAGACTGTTTTTGTTAACAATGTTCATTTATAATTTATATCATATTATACGATATAAATTACAACATGTTAGTAATAGAATTGTATAATCATAGTTTCATATTCAAGTATGATTGTATAAATTGTCAGAACAGATCACTATAACTACAGGATATATAATTATACCAACTGACAAACACAAATACATTGCATTAGAAAAGTCATTGTCTAAGAAGAAAAGTAAAGTGTAACTTTTCATTTGTTTAAAACAGGGATCAAGCAACTTTGTTGAAACTCTTCTGGTTCTGTCTTGATAGAACTACTGCAACTTGTCATTATGTGAACTACCTTTCCACATGGAGCACTAAACATGTCAGTATATAATGTGAGAATTGGATGGTGTCTGATACTTCCAGTTACAGACTTTTACTAGTGAGAAATGAATCCTTTTTTCTTATTTTAAGTAAGATAATACTTTCTCCTTCGTCACAGAGCAAAACTTTACCCCATCCTTCAACTGCTGCAATGACAGTCTTTTATGATGTCTTAGGGGCCTTTGGTCTCTGAAGACCAAAGCAGAACTTGTTAGCTTTAATAACATGGTCTCCAAACATGTATAAAACAGCCTTTCAAATTATTGATCTTTTAGATTCACATTCTTTCTCAGACTTGCTGGTAAGGATTTCTGGGACCAAAAATTTTAGTATGGCTTTCAACACTTTAGTAGTTGAATCTGGTCTGTAATATATAAAGTCAGACTCTACTAAGAAGAAAGAGATACAGAGAACATTTGACTTGAAATGGGAAAGATTTAACAGAGAAAAATAAGTGATTTCTAAGGACAAAAAATTAACCCTAGAGTAGACATCAAATAAATATGGAAAAGACAAAATGCATACATTTTGAAACAAGAAAGAAATTAGAAGGAAAATGATGTAGGTTATGCATGATTAGATAGAATGTGACAATTGTCTACATAAAATACTTTTGCCTGTTTTTAAAAAACATGCTTGCATCAAGATTAATGTGCCAGCTTTCTCAACAGAGGAATATACCTCGTATATGTAACAAATAAAAATGCAGTTTATTGCAAAAATATAAAAATCCCCTAAATTGCATAAGATATTACAATATTTTCCAAGTGGGCTTGCTGAAATGTGACATATTAAGCAAAGAGGACTTTAATACCAAATCACAAATGTTAAAATAAGACTTGGGTAATGAACTTTACATAAAATGTATTGTTGTGCCTTATTGTTATGAGGAATTTTGAGTTATTTCTTTTTTATACAGCTATAGTAATTGCAACATAAAATGATGACAATTGTAATAGGCAGAAATGGATACCTACAGCATACCTTCTGTATTATCAATACTAATGAACACTGTGTGCATTAATACTTTAAACATATCACATTCAAGCTAACAGTCTTTCCAGAAAATCTTAACCATTTTATAGAACAGAAGCTGGTTGAACAAATTCATCAGCATAGTGTTTCCTTAAAACCTATTCTCTATGAAATGCTGTATACAAAGAACTGATTTTCAAAAGGTGCTGTGCATCTACAGCTACCCTTGACTTTAACTGGAACTGCTGGTGCTAAGCTCTTCTGAAAATCAGGACCAAAGTCTATTAAATCCCTATTTAGTTTACTGATACATCCATTGTAATATGTAAAAAGGCAAAAACAAAAAAACCCCAACAAACAAAAAAAAACCCAAACCCTAAAATCACAGAAAATGCTTGGCATCTACAGGAAGATAGACATGTTCTCAGTGGACTAACCACTACTGTGCTATTTTCTCACAACAGATCTTGTTGTTCCATACTTTATTTCATGCACTGGGATCAGCAATGTCCATGTTTGTTCCAAACAGAGCAACTAGCTGCTCCTCATAGTTTGCAATGTTTCTTTTCATAATTTCCATACAAGGTCCCAAAAGCCTTTCAAATGCCTGTACATCCATAACTAAGATAAAAGAGGGTGGGGGAAAAGAGAGAGAGAGAAAGAGAATGTAATGTGGCCATCAGCTGCAGAAATGATTTTCAGAGTTTATGACATTCATTGTGTAGAATTTTAAATTATAATGGGAAAGGCATCAATGAGGCCCATACTATGTCAGTAGAGCTGGAGATAACTTTTCCCATATGATTCAGACCTAAATAATACCTTGACCCCAATCCTGCAAACATGCATGTGCTTAACTTTATTAGTAGGAATAGTTCTACTGATATCAATGCATGTCTTTGCAGGATCCGGGCTTTGGATGACAATTTAAAAGTATAGTTATCCATATTGGTTCACCGGGAGTGTTAATCAGGAGAACTAAAAATGCTGTAGTCAATAATTTATGTTTTTTACTTCAAGAAACTTTACATTTTAAAAAGTCTAGAACTAACTTTGTATCTATTAGGTTAGTACTGAAAAATTTAGTAAGTCAATAAAAAGTCCATATCCAGGAAAACTCATTTTTTTCAGTCTCACACACAATTTTTCCTACAAGTTTATATAGTACAAATTATGGCATAAATGTGCATATATTTGCAACTTATGTCTTAATATGTTACTTATGGCAGTTCTTATGGGAAAATACACATTTACACTAAAACATCAAAATGAACAATTCTGTTACACACACACACACACACACAACACCGCCACCCAAAACCACCGCCACCCAATTTTTTGCTATCTTGGAATTGCCAGTAATTTATACATACTTTCCATCAAAACTGCTTTCCTATTGTCTCATTCTCTTTACTTCCTTTCTCTCTTCAAAAAGTTGCTGGAGCCATGCTCCTGCTAACACATACCTGAATGTTTTTACTTCAGATAACACTCTTTGCTAAAACTGAGAATCTCAACATTTACAGCTTGATATCATGCACAGATTTTAAGTGTTAATTTTATAATTGCTATCTTTGTTATTCATACAGCACCATAAATGTGCATAGAGACTTACAGACAGATAAAAGAAAATGTCCATGCCCATATGAATTTACAATCTAAACTGTATCTATTGCATAATCATGAATCAATATATTAAATAGTAAAATTCACATTGTGGCACTAAAATAAACATGGCTGCTTACTTACTATAGATATAGTTAGGCAACACACTCTGTACATTTCATTTGAATGATTCTAACGCCTGGCCTATACACAAAGCTGTACCAGTTTAACTAGAAGTTTAAACATACTTAGTTAAATCAGTGCAATTATGTGTGGACACTCATATCAGTTTTGAATTAAACTAAGCTGATTTAAGATAGTCTTACACCGATTTAAGAATGTCCACGCTAGCAGTGTTGCATTGATTGAGCTAATTTGGTGTCTAAATCAGTTAATCGGTGCAAAAACTGTGTGTAGACAAGACCTAACAGTGTATGGATGTCACACCCAAACCCATCCAACACTACACAAGAAGAGTGTGCTATCCATTTTAAAAATATTTTTAAATGGTTCAGCCAGCACAGTTTTGTCCTCAGTCTGGGTAGGATATAATGCAAATAAAAGGTTTGAAAACTATCCTCAAGATTAGGTAGTAACTCTTCAGGGTATCTATTTATCTAGGTATTTACACTGTGCCTATCACCATAGTATGATAGCCTACAACTTTGTGAAATATCTAAGATCGTTTAAATAAGGTTTGTCAAGGAGAATTCAGTGGTTGTTGGAAACTTTGTTTTGAAAACATTTTCCAAGTTAAGATTTCATGGAATACAAAACCTACTGGATAACTCTGGGAAGGGCTACAGCACACTGTACTTTTCTACAGACTATAGTTATAAGAGGTTCCAAAAGGAACCTCAGGGGGTTAGACTAGATGAGCCTTGCGGTCCCTTCTACCACTATGATTCTATAATGAACTTGGTGGTGGTATCTTGGTGTCTAATCTATTCTTTTCCTTTGCTTTTCTTATCTTCTGCTCAAAGTTATGAGTCTAATGGCACTGAACCTATTGAACAGTAATCATAGTGGTTTCTCGGGTATTATCTGTGTGCTCTAGCCAGTGTTCTGCTTGTTTATCTTTGTTTGGCTGGGGAGACTTATTTTTAAGAACCCAGTAGCTTTGTGAATAAACAGAGAACATTTTGTTTGCTAGCCTGATGTCTGTCATTTAAGAATACAAAATTTGCCTTTGTATCTTACAATTTTCCTAATACACCTCTACCCCGATATAACGTGACCTGATATAACACGAATTCAGATATAATGTGGTAAAACAGTGCTCCGGGGGGGCGGGGTTGCGCACTCCGGCGGATCAAAGCAAGTTCAATAGAACACGTTTTTACCTATAACGCGGTAAGATTTTTTGGCTCCCGAGGACAGCGTTATATCAGGGTAGAGGTGTAGTTAGATTAATAAAATGGAAGGGTTATATAATGATGTGATTGAGAAGTTAAACCTTAAACCATACAAAAGAATCCTACATTTCAGCATTAAGGGGTGCATTAAGTAACATCTAAATAACCCATAAACCATGTCAACTCAGTTGGGATGAGTTAATTGTTTTGTTTTGAATGTAGGTTCAGTTTTTTTTTTTAAATAACAAAATTATTGAAGGAAAGTTAAGTTAAAGAAATAAGTTTTGCATTTAGTTCTGAATGCAGTGACATTCGTGATCACTTATCACTTCTAGTACTGAGTTCCACAGTCTTGGTCCACTCCTGTGTAAGAGAAGGGAAGACTGACCCTTGAGGAATTGTACAGATGATGGCTCTGGAGGTGGAGGAACAGCTGTCCATCATGAACTTGTGAGGCTAGTCCCAGTGAAGGATTGAAGCCATCTTTCCAGTTCACCACTGTGGTCTCTCAAAGGAGAAGGAGTAGTATTTGTTTTAAATGCCACAGAGATCCAGAAGAAAACACACGTATTTGTACATCATGTCCACAGACAAGATGATGTTCTCTATTAACACAATCACTATTGTCTCTGCTCTGTGCCTCAGCCTGAAACCTGACAGAGTGACATGGGCTGGTAAAGCCAGAGACTTTGCTAACTACTTGCTAACTTACTCAGAAATGGGAAGTTAGATTAAATAAGGTAGCATGGAAGGTTGGTTATATTAAGCAGTTGTTTCTTAGGTGTCGGTTGACCACTGGGCAAGGACAGTTTTTTATTTGTCTGTTAAGTGTTATGCAGATTAAAAGTACTATGACGCGGTCTGCGCTAGTTGGAAACCATTTTCAATTCCATCTGAAGAGGGGAGACATTGGAGGTCCATGGTTGACACAGTTGTCAATTACAAGTAATTTTTCTAGTGTAGATAGAAATATACTATAACAGGTACAGTACAGTCTAACAGTCCAATGGTTTTAAATGCTACTGGGTGACTGAAATCTGATTTTATGGTATGAAGGAACATACAGTACATTATAAATGCAGCCTTTGATAAGTAAAAAGATTCTTTTTATATTAGTCACAGCAAGCAGAAATATCACTGAATCAGTACCTAAACACTTGACAGTGCCAAGAGCAAATGCTGAAGCTGCTCGAGGTTTGTTAGTTACAAGAGCAAGTTCTCCAAAATACTGTCCTCTGGAGTACCGGGCTATTTCAACTGCCCCATTCTCTTCTACATCCTGTTTATTCTGAAAAGTCAGATAAGATGAAAAATAAGAGACACTTGCTGAACGTACAGTTTTACTCAAAATGGAATTTAAACATGTCTAAAGAATAAAGAAAACTGCAGTGAGAACTAGAGACATCTGCTGTTTAACATTTAGAATATATTAATGACTTCAAGATTTTGAAAAATTAAATTCATGTTAGGGTTTTTACCTTCCTTTTCATAGTAATTCTCACTTCTCCAGATTCTACAATGAAAAAACAATCAGCCATGTCTCCCTATTAAAAATAAAAAAGCAAGTAATGAAAACATGAATATTGCTTTTTAGTTTTGTAGTAACAGTAAGAAATACATTAAAATATATGTAGCCAGAGGCTAACAGCTAATCCTTTGGTACCTAATGCAAAATGCTTTAATACATTCTACTTAGAAATACACACTCATGGCATAGAAGGATTAAAATGTCCATACAGAAATGAGATGAGCAACAAGCTCTCCTGAAAGAAAATGACACAGTTGGCTCCACGTAGACCTCAGTTCTAAGCCATGGACAAAACATAATATCAAGCACCAAGAGAGGCAAAAGAAAATATTGGATAACTTGGAGGATACTTATCCCTATTCTCCAAAAACAAACAAGCTGCTCCCCTATAGATCAGTGGGCAAGAGCAGAATTGGGTTGGTGGGCAGAAATAATCAGCCTGAAATCCAATTGCCACCTTCTTTTGTTCTAGAGGGTTTTGAACTCATAAAATCCCAAAAATTATTCCCTATCATGGATGCTCAGGTATCAATAAGCATAGGAGAGGTTTAAGCCAACATCTAAAGGAAGTCCAAAGGCAACACAGAGTCTGAGTTGCCTGCAATCTACCCTGATGGAATTATCTTCACATTTTTCTTTTTTAGGAACAAAAACAGACACTCAATGATAAGACCCATTTTCAGCACCTACTAGTACAAGCCTTCCTCTTCTATAGTATTTGCATAGTTTACTTTGTTCTGTTCAGACCAACCAAACATGTTGTTTCTTAAAATACAATAGATGAAATAAAGTAGCTGTTAAAGTGGCAAGAAAACCCCCAATCAGACACTGGCTAAATATTCCACAACAGGCATTTACCATTTAGAGCTTTGTAAAAGCTAACAAAACATTCCAAATCCCAGAAAGAATTAATTACATTTTGTCATCAAAGAGACACACTACTAACCACAGATATGCTCAGTATGGAACTATAAAAGGGTAAAAAAGCCACTGGAAAATTAATTGAAATAGCCTGCCAAGTATTTGTATTAAACTTTTTTTTTTTTTTTGCTTTAAATTGTTATTTGGAATTTACATCATCATAACAACATATTTCTTTGAACTACACCATTTTTTTCAGACCAGTTTATTCCCTTTATGTGTACTACACTGAGATTCACTTAGTTTAAAAGAATGGATTCATTATAGATAATACAGTAGTTTTACTTATAGACGCAAAAACTAAATCAACTAAGACACTACCATACCTGAGTAATGATTTGTTCTCCATCTTTGTATATTTTGGTGCCTATTACATCCACCACTTTCAAGCGTTCAGATAGCTTTATAAAAAGAATGGGAATATTAAAATGTTTTGCTAAAAATATTAAACATATGTTTTGCTAATCCTTAATACCTGTTTTTATGGACCTATATACAGTATAATATGTCCCTAGCCATCTGTATTGACAATAAAGGGATAAAGAGACCTCTGTTTAACAATTTTCCAGGGAATGGTTTACCAACATACATGTTAATTAAGTTTCTATTTTTGTATGGTAAATCTACATGCTCTAAGTCTTCCAAAATACTTACTGGAGAAAGTGCATGTGTGTGCAGAAAAATATATCTTTTAAATGAAAGTATTCACTTTTTTCAATATGCCCAAAGCACTAATTCACATTATTAATATCCAGCAAAAATTCAGTTTAAGAAATGGAAGGCTGGAAACCACAAAAATATTCTAATCTTTTGCAGTACTATGGCCTCTATCCTACAAGTTGATTTGCACAGGCAGACTCCTGTTCCAGGCAGATCCCGATTAGGGGACTGCTGTGTGGATCAAATTATAGCATCAAGCTTTATGAAGAAACTAAAATAGTCAATGGGGGGTATCAAATTGGAAATTTCAACACTTTTCCTCAGAAGTCCCTTCTCCAAAAATAAAGATGTGCAAAATTTTAATCTAGAGGAAGTTTTTATTCCAAGATAAAACCCCATGCCACAACCACTAAAATAATGCAATAGAAAGCTTACTTCTAAAGATTTAAGGAATGGCAATGACTGAATAAAATTTTCATACATTCTTCTCTTTTTGGCATTGTTTTTTACAATGATTCTCCGGAATGTTACCCTGTCCTGAAAACACAAAGAGAAGAAAAAAAGTATATTAAAGGAAAATGTTAGCACAGGATGGAAAATGCATAAAAGAAATAGGTAAAATGTATAATAATTATAATCAGCCACTAGGGGGCAATTTTATGTGTTTTTAAGTACTTCAGTGAGGCCTTCTATTAAAAGGGGCATAATAAATTTGATATTTTAAATTGTATCATTTCAAATAACTGATTTTTCTGATAAGAGATCTTTGAAATCAAATCTCTTGCCCATCTTTTTATTCCTCTTTTAAAAATTCATCTTCCTTGGTGATGTTTGCAAGGGTTTTTTGGGCAGGCCGAGAGCAACACCAAACATTGTGGTGCCCACTCCTCCTCACCTGCCTACTTCTGTGCACAGCTGCTGCCTATTGAGTTTCAGATTTAGCTGTGCAGCAGCAGTTACTGGCCTTCTTGCCTGCCCAGAGAAGAGCATATACACAAACTGCCCCCAGACAAGATGCATGAGATAGGAAATACAACTGGACATCAACAAAACTGAAACTGACTCTACCCAAACTGCTGATGAATCAACAAATGAGAAACTGAAAAGTGATTTCTCCTCCCCACCCCGCAATCAGTTTCAGCTCTAGTAATCTTATATTGTTACAAGTAACAATAGCAATTGCAACACTTTCAGATGGAAATGTAATTTTTAAGATGATTTTAAGTGTCCCTTTAAGATCTTGTTTTAGTTACAAATTCAGAAGGATGAATAATGTCTGTGTAATCCAACTAAATGTTAGGGCATCCCAAGCCAGCCTTCTTAACTAATTACAGAGAATTAGTTAGTCTTTCAGACCATAAAAAGGTTCAATTTTTGACTCCTATTCAGATTTCTATGATTTTATATTTTTGAGGCAGATTGGCTGTTTACCTTCCGTTTTTGAACCAACATTCCACCTAATACAGGTTTAGGAACCAGACACAAAGACCAAACTCACAAAGATACTTAAGTACCTAAACTCCAGATTGAGGTGCCGAAGTCCCAGTTCTGGATCCACTGCATTCCACAAAATTCTCTAGGTGCCTAAACTCAGTGTCTATTTTTCAGAGTAAAAGTTCCCTTGGTGCCTCTGTTTCTGCCTCTGGGCATGTATATCCGGATGCCTAACCCCACCTAACCCAGCCCCCCAAACCAGGGGAAGATAGGTGCTCATCCACCTAAGTTGCATGTGGGTCCTGATCCAGTAGGCATGCTCACAGGCCACCAACTGGATCAGATCCTATTCAAAATCCAGCTACCAGAGGAGTAGGAGGTGGAGATGATGGTGCCCACCTTATAACTTTTAATTCAGTGGTTCGAGCACTCACCTGGGAGGTGGGAGACCCAGGGTGCAGTCCCTCTACTCCAAAAACTCTTTCATTATTTATCCACAATGGAACAGCTTCAACAAGAGAGAGCCACATCAGAATATTCCACAGCTCAGTGGTTAGAGCACTCTCCCAAGTGGTGAGAAACATGTGTTCAAATTTTTTCTCCCCTCTGGCAGAGAGGGGAGAATTGAACCTGGGTCTCCCACATCTCAGCCCCAGTGAGTGCGCTAACCACTGGGCTACAAGTTAGGCACCACCCCCATTTTGTGTGGCGCAAGGCAGGCACCTAACTCATTCCTGCAATAGGCACCTTAGCTGCCTGACTCCAAGAGAGGGATTCCTGGTCCTGGATCGCTAAGCAAAGATAGGCATACCCCTGAAGTCTGGACTTAGGCACCTATCTCTGAGAGAGGGGTGGGGCTTAGTACACACCCCTCTCATCAGGATCTCCCTCTGGCTAGCTTAGGCTGTTTCTCACATAACGTGCTGGCTTTTATGGATCACGTTCTAAGGGGACTATCCCTCCCCTTTCATTGTACAGGGAGCCTTGCACTTAAGTTCGCTTGTGGATCACAGTGTGGTTCCTGTAATTTTCTAGGCACCCAAAAATAAGGCACCATGACGTTCCACACTGCAATGCCCAAGTCCCTTCATGGATCCTACCCATGCTGCCTAACCTTTCAGGCTCAATTGCAGACTATTTTTATTACCAACATATATTAGCTTTGTATGACAAGTTTGGAGTAAATGACTCCAGGAAAACAAAATATATAATTTCAGATGATTAAAAAATTATCTCAGAAATGTTGCAGTTAAATCATTTCATCCCACAGTTCTCAGCACATTTATTTCAAGTAATGAGCTTCATGTTAGCTAAACCAAACACATGGGACCAGATCCTTGGCACCACTTCAGCAGCACAAAGGGGCCATAAAACTGCCCTATGTGGGCAAAGGGAATTCCCTGGTGTGGGACAATCCTTTAAGCAGAAAGATGGGGTACCCAACTGTATGTCATTCTCTCTTGTTCTCACACCACCCAACTCAAGGGGATGTGGCTGGAATGCACTGTAATCCCACTAATATAATGGCCCTGGGTGGCCATTAAAATCCATTGTAATTTAGAGCATCATTCAGGCCGCTCCAAGTTATGTAGAAAGCTCAGCAGTCTATGGGATCAAGGTGGCAGAAAGCCACCTATTCTCCCCTACACCAAGCACTGCTCTGAATTGGCACCTTGGAATCAGTTACCAGACCAACATATAAGCCTTGAAGTAGAACAGCTTTCTCAAAATAACTTTTGTGCAGATTCCAGATATAGGAAGCTTAACAAATAGCACCATGTGGATTTTTTTATACTGTAGCCAAATGCATTCATGTTTTTTGAGATCTAAGAAAATATTTACTATTTGGCAAAATAATTGCCATGTCTCTTACAGTTGGAAACATGATAACTAAGCTCTGAAAGTTATTGAGGTATTTTCCAAAATTACTTTTGTTGTGGTTCTTATATCAAATTGCCATTTTAATATTCAAGTTTGCTTAAAGCATACGTTCAGGGTCTGAGAAAAGACAGTATTTGCCCAGGATTTTTCTGCAAGTTTTAAAAGGCTTCTATCCTAATGATACATTTCCAATTATAAGATAATTTTTCAATTTCAAATAGCTGTAGATACAGCTATACAATTTTAAATTATTTTATATAAAGACAAAAATGTTTTAATGAAAAATACATTCAAACAAACATTTCACTTACCAAACCCCATACAGCACCAGGAGATGTAGCAATTATGGTAGCTGCTCTGGGTGTATTGTACATTAAGGCCAACTCACCAAAACTTCCACGGTTATCATAGGTACCAACACACCTCCCAACACCGTCACATTTTACATAAATGTCGTATGTTCCTCTGTTAACAAAATACACAAATAAAGTGAGTAAACATCCACCCTTTCCACTCCCCCATGTTCCTTACTGAGCAGTTAGCTGGTTTAGTTTACTACCTTGTTTGTTTAGTTTACCAAGTTGATTATGCACCACGCATTACACTGATGGTACTGCTCTTGAAATATAAATTTTGTTCAGTTAAATGATACTGAGTAGCTTGCAGGGTCATCTCACTTATTTGTGTATGCCCTAGAAATGGTGGCTATTTTAAGGGGGACAGTTGCTACTTCTTTGTGAGGACATGGTAACTTTGCACTTGAAAAAAAAATAAAAAATCAGAATTGGAATTACAATTATAAATTACATATAAATAAAATCAAAATGGCAATTATTAAAAAATAAAGATGAACACATTTTGAGCCTAAATTATTTAACAATTTCTTTTTAACCATGAAACTGTGTAATGTGCAAAGTCCTCACAAAGAAATGGTTTCTGAAAACTATGCTTCTGTGATTAAATTAATTTAAAATGTAAAAGTTCTTTCACACGTAAAATGTTTTTTAAAACAGTAATCAATATATTGCAATGTACAGTTGCATTAGTGAGAATGGTGGCAAAACATACCGTGAGTCCTTATCTAAAGAGTAACAAATGCAAAATAAAAATATTGTATACTCATCTAATATAAAGTTTTAACTTTAAACATCAAAGCAAACCCACAAAAATATTTATCGATAGTTGTTGCTCTGAGAAAGAAGTAAAATATGACAGCCACCCTCTCTGATGCTGTGTCATTAGCTTGTTCAGTGCCAAATATTTATAGCCTTCCTTTTTGGAAGAAGCTGGAATGGAATGCATATGTCTCTACAATTCCTTTCCCTTCATGGTCAAGGACTTTGTAGTCAGATGGTCAGAGTCACCTAGACCTGACAGCCATGTATCTGGAAGAACTCAATGAAGTCCCTGCAGCTTTCTGAAGAGGAAGTGGATAAGCCATAAGCCCAGAAAAATGAGAGAAACTTGTATCCTCCAGTGAAGAATCCCAACTCTGTGTCACAGTCTCCTCAGAGATATACAGAGTACACTGGGGATTCTCTCTAGAAGCCAGCATTAATAGCCCTGACTATATCATTGTATCCTACCTGAAACTGAAGACAGAAGGTAGAAAAAGTTTAGTGCAGAGGTTCTCAAACTGTGGTCCATGGACCACCAGTGGTCCACAAGCTCCATTCAGGTGGTCCGCAGATAGTTCCCTCTAAGGTGCATGCCTGGGCGGCCGCAAACAACAGAATGAAGGGCCACCCACCTAATTAGTGGAGCTGCGAAGGCATGGCCCTACTAATTAGGTGCCTGGACCCTGGAGAAGACGCACATGTAAGGTGAGGTGGTGGCCTTGGGGGGAGTAGGGGGTAGGTGGGAGAGGGCAGTGGGGTGAGAAGAGGGGGTGGGGAGAATTTGGGATGTGCAGGGCTGCGGCAGCCAGAGAAAGAGGTGACTCCCCAGCACCAGGGCTGTGGCTGCCTGGGAGAGATGGCCCTCCTTCCCAGCCTCAGCTATGTGGCTGCTGTGGTGGGGGAAAGACCCCCCTCCTTTCCAGACCCAGCTCAGGGGCTGCTGCGGTGGGGGGGGAGAGGGTACATCCATCGCATTAGAAAGATAAGACTACTGATATTAAAATATGATTTGTGTGCTTTTATTTGTAGAACAAAAAAATGTTAATTCTTATTAAGTTTTTTTTATATAGCACTTTTATCCAAAGTGCTTTACCATAGTTAGCTAACGGTACAAACAACATTTGGAAAGATCATTAAATGGTCCACCGAGACCCACAGAAATTTTCAAGTGGTCCGTGAAAAAAAAAGTTTGAGAACCACTAGTTTAGTGCATTGACCTATATTGATGACTTGGTAAGAATTTAACCAAAGGTCAACAGCAGCAGCAACACAAAGGGTGCTCCCAAATCACTGTTTCAGCAATTATAGCTATCATTTTACCTATTAATCTGACTATGAAGTATTAGACCCACATGGGAAGTGTAGTTAAAATTTGTGCAATTCTTTGAAAATTTAAGTTTTATTCTTATGAACAAGAAACTTTGCCAACAGCATTGAGAATGTAATAAGATTCCAATCAAATATTGAATGTTAAATCTTTTCCAATTATTTGTTACATTAAATCTGTTTCCAGTTAACAAATAGTCTTTGTGACAGAACATTGCATTAAAGGACCAGTGACATGTTCCCTTGCAAACATTTTATTACAGGTGAGAACAGGCTAGATTTTTTTCACTAACTGCTCTCTATTGTTCAACCACTCTTTAACTCTGATAAAATATCTTTGTATTTTCTTTCATACATGCACACACCTGTCTGATTCAACTGCAAGTATATGCAAAAATATATTTTCTTTGATACAATTGTGCATAATCCCTTGTATTACAATAATGTATAATCACTCACCTATCAATTACATAGAAGTTATCACCATCATCACCTTGATCAATGACATGCTCCCCTCCTTCAACCAGCTTTTCAAACATAGCATCTAATACCTGAGACATCTGTTCCTATTTAAAAAAACAATAACAAAAAACCCCATAAGAGGAAAATTAGGCTCTGATTTTATGGCATCACCCTCAAAAATACAAATTAACTGTTTAAATGTTCTAGGTAGTCTTCAAATATTGCACTGGACACAGCTCAGATGATGATAGCACACCTGAAATATATAAAATTTTCATGTTACAATAATCTGTCAATTTATCAGAAAAATAGTGAGATTTTCAGTCAGTATTTCAACTTTTAATTCCAGATCTTTCCTTCTATTGTGTTCAGAGCACAAAGACACACCTGCAGTTTTAATACTGCTGTTGTTCACTTTCCTAATGCAGTGCCCTGTAACAATCCTTTCCAAAACCATCCCTTCACTTAATAATGCAAGATTACTTGATATCCGGTATGATACCCAATATATTACTTGGCATCCCCTGCAGCCGCATAAAATATATTAACTGTTGCTTTGCTAACCAATGTGTGATTGGGTGCACTCACCCCGCACTGGATGGGGAAGGGTTAACTCCAAACTGTGGGCTGAGGAAGCCATGCCCCCACTCTTTACTGGGCATGCTCCAGGTGTAGCACTAGTATAAAGGGGAGCAGCCCCCGAGCTCAGTCTGGGCTGACCACTGGAGAGGAAGGACACATGCTGCAGGCTCCAGCCCGGGAGCTGCCGAAGTCCCAGACTGTGGGAGCCGGAGGTGCTGAGACCCAGGCAGACACCAAGTGGGATGCCAATTGCAGGTCAGAGCCCCCGGGAGCAGCACAACCCAAGGAAACCAGAGATCCCCAAGACAGCTAGACCAAGGGACTGCAGAAGTCATGGTAGGAAGTAGCCCAGGGAGGGACTAGCCATTGTCCCTACAGCAGTCAGTATGCTTTGGGCGGATCCCCACTGACTAAGTGGCGAGTCCACTTGCCACTACCAGGGTCCTGGGCTGGGACCCGTTAGAGCAGGGAGGGCTCAGGTCCCCCTACCCAGGCTGCCACCCACCACTGGGAGGCAGCCCAACCCCCACTAGGCCTCCCTGCCCTGCCGACCACGGTGAGCCTATTGACTTTATACACTAGGCCTCACTGTCTTGAGACAGAAGACAGCTTAAAGGCTGGCGTGCACTCACGCTGCACTGGATGGGGACCCCCCCACCCTGTCACACAATGGTAGATATATTTGTGGCAATATAGTATTTACTTGACTTCTATAAGTAGCACCTGAACTAGTATGTTTCAATATTGAAATTCCCCATTTATTTATACAATAGCCATATCTTGTGTATTAGTATGTGAAGCTATACACATGTAAATATACATGAAGTTACATAATATTAGTCACATATAATTAGTATCGATGAAGCACAGTGAAGATAGATTATAACTTGTGAAGGGGAATACTAGGCACAGAGGCCCCTTGCGGGAGGCCTCCTGGTCCTACCACACCCCGCCCCAGGAAAAAGCAGTAGAGGTGAGTCCTCCAGGCTGCCTAGAACAGCTACAGGGAAGCAGCCAATCTGAGTCCAGCAGGCTCATATATAAAAAGGAGCTACTGGACAGCCCACATTCAGTTGCTGGCTGGAGCCAGGGGAGCAGGAAGGTGTTCCTGGCTAGCTGCAGGAACTGACAGACCAATTGCTGACAGGGAGCAAGGAAGGTGCTCTTGGCTGCCTGAAGGGACTCAAGAAAGACTTCAGCCTGAGATAAGGGTGAAGATGAAAGTACTGGGCCACTGTGGGGAAGTGGCCCCAGTAAAGGGAGGCAGTTGCTACTTAAAGGATCCCTTAGTTGGGACCTGGATTAGTGGATGGGTCTGGGTCTGGGTCGTCCCCCCCACCCACTAGGGAAGTGGCTTAAGCACTGAGAAGGGACATAGCCCAGAGAAGGGGCTAAAGACCCAGAAGAAGGTCAGCATTTGTGGGAATTTTTGATACCCCCTGGAAAGGGAGTGAACTGAATTGTAAAGAGGGACTCAGCTGAAGAGCTGGGGTAACTGGTGAAGAACCCCCCAGGGAGGAAGCCCTGGGGGCATTGCTCCATACCAGAAAAGGGACAAGATGAGAGAGAGCCCAGCAGGGGCTGAGAGACCGTTTGGGAAGCAAGCCCAGGAGGGGCTATAACCAGAGTACTGGGATAGGCCCTGTTTGACTTGTACCCTGGAAGGGGTTTGTTTTATTAGCATACAAATTGTGACTCAGCTGAAGGGCTGCGTCACCGAAGATCCACCTGACGAAGGCAGTAGCCAACAGGAGGCACAGTGAGCAGCGCAAAGCTTAAAAAAAACCAGGTGTATGCACATATTCGATCCAGGACGTTCAAGAGAGGCAAGTGGCCCCACCATGTTAACTACATATACTGTAACTTCAGAAAATATGAATATCTACCTTTTTTAAAAGTATTGCACATGTCAAGACAAACACCTGTCAGGGATGGTCTAGATAATACTTAGTCCTGCCTTGAATGCAGAGGACTGGACTAGATGACCTCAAGAGCCCCCTTCCAGTCTTGTACTTCTATAATTCTACGTCCAACATATACAGAAGCAACAGCTAAATTGAGTTTTCTTTTCCTTTTATTAATTTATATCATCTATAACATGTGCCCTTCTTCCTGTAGGCATCTAGCAGGGGTTCCCAAATTATGGCATGTGTGCCACTGGTGGTGCATGACCCTGATGTTCCATCAATTCACTTCATAACAATTTTTTAAGAAGGGGACACACAATGTGAATTAATAAAGTTTGGGAACTGCTGATCTACTGGAAGGCTCTATGTGCAACCTTCCCTTGCTATAGACATCTAAAAAAATACTGTGCAATGTGTGTCTTCTCCCCTCTGTTGATGGCCCCAAAGGTTCTATTTTTGGTCCTTTCCTTCTCCCACCCCATCCCTGAGGCAAAAGCTCATCCACTCTCATGGCTTCAGTGGTGATTTTTAAAATCTTGCCTCATGGGAATGAGAGAATATTCCTGCTAAAATGACCTTCTCCTCAACCTAGCCAGGCTTACATCACTGCTTCTGTCTGTTTGGACCTAATGGATACCCTGGTTTTTTTCCTCAATTTAAATGACAACCTTAATTTCTCTTCATTCCTGCGCAACTGCCTCGCCTCCCTTTTTCTACACCTGTGGCCTCTCAGACACAAGGGTCACATTCTAATCTCAGAAACTTGCATATAGTTTCCATGCACGTCAACCTGAGTTGTACATGAATATCTGAGGATATAGTTTTGCCCTTAGTGATCACATACAGTATACAAGTTAGAAAACGAGGTCTATACCACTGACAAAATATTTCTTAGCTGTTTTAGTGTTTGGAGCCAACTTATGGGAATATATGTTTCCAAACCACTGTAAACCATTATGAAAAGGTAAATCATACGATGCCTAGATAACATGGGGACAGAAACAAGCCTAAATGTGTGCAATGCTTCAATTGAATAGATAAACCCTGGACTTAACTAGTGCAGTCAGTGAGTAGGATTTCACACACTGGATACAACACCACTTTAATGGAAGGGGACCCATTCCCAGCTTCTGGCAATTAGAGGCTGGAGACACTTCAGAGCAAGGCTTTGCGTCCCTGACCATCCTCGCTAATAGCCATTGATGGACCTATCCTCCATGAACTTACCTAGTTCCTTTTTTAACCCTGTTTATAGGTTTTTAACCCTGTTTATAGGTTTATAAAGAAATGTAGCAGACTAATAAAGTGACAGTCTGAATTATGTTTTGGACACTACTACAGCAAATATTTTACTTTACCACCTACATATGGAGTCAGAAGTATCAAGGGATACATTCAATTAAATCAACTCTCAAGTAGAAATATAGAAATGTACAGATGGAACTTAGGTTTCACAGTTTAAATACATTGAAGACCTCTAATTTCTAAATATCTTGCCAAGAATGTCTATGTAGACAATTTCCTTTAGATAGATGCTTTAGAACTTAACCTGTTTATTCTCTCCAAGATTCAGAAGATATTTTAAATTCAGCAACTCTATCATATTCTTCAGTTCATGCAACAGATTACACAAAGAGATTTCTGCAAACTGCACATGCACATTCAGTGTGGCATCCAGCTAGTTGCTGATGCAGTACTGATGTTTCTTCTCCCTGTCCAAGTTTCCTCCTCAATAGTTGACCCAGAGAAGGAGCTCACACACATAGTATCATTGTTCTGACAACTGGTCCACACATTTGTTTTTAATTGCCTTTCCTATATGCCACCCCAATTCAGCAAATGAAAGAGTGTCAACACTCTGAGCACTGGTTTTGCATAAAGCAAGGGTATTAGTACCCCCTGCGAGGTAGGTAATTATGTATGATAATTCCCATATTAAAGATAGGAACATGGAAACAGAGATTAAATGAATTGCCTGGAGGCACCATATTCTAGACAACTAGGCACAGGATTCAAATGAGAACTTAATTCCAATGCTCATTCTGACACCACCCATTTGTGAAGTGGGGGTAATAATACTTCTCCCTCCTTCAAAAGACGTGTTGTAAAGATTAATTAATTCATGCTTGTGAACACTCAGGACTACCGTGATGAGTGCAACAGAAAAGCCCATTAAAATATCCATATTCAGTGCAGCATTGGATAAGAACATAAGAACAGCCATACTGGGACAGATCAATGGTTCATCTAGCCTAGCATCCGGCCTTTGACAGTAGCCAATGCCAGGTGCTTCAGAGGGAACGAACAGAACAGGTAATCATCAAATGATCCATCCCGTCACCCATTCCCAGCTTCTGGCAATCAGAGGCTGGAGACACTTCAGAGCAAGGTTTTGCATCCCTGACCATCCTCGCTAATAGCCATTGATGGACCTATCCTCCATGAACTTACCTAGTTCCTTTTTTAACCCTGTTAAAGTCTTGTCTTTCAACATCCTCTGGCAAAGAGTTCCACTGGTTGACTGTGCGTTGTGTGAAGAAAGACTTCCTTTTGTTTGTTTTAAACCTGCTGCCTATTAATTTGATTTGGTGACCCCTAGTTCTTGTGGTATGAGA